AAAAAAAAAAAAAAAAAAGAACGATTACCTTGATTTGTGTCCTCTTATAAGTGTAAGTGATGTGAACTAATCCATCACTAGCTTGAATAACAGCAGGATAAGAAAACTCCATTCCCTCAGTTTCCTCTAATGTGATGACATCACTCCAAGAATCACCGTCATCCACAGAAACCCCGACTTTGAGCACGCCACGCGAGATTGTATTGTAAGCAAGTACCAAACGACCATCGGCTAACTTCACTCCGTCAATTCCTATCATCATTTTCGAAGGCGGGCACATAATATGATCTCGTTTGATTTCTAAAGTTCTAATCTTTTTTGTTTTTACTTCTCTTTTATATAACAAATTCATCACAAGAGAAAAAGAAAAAAAAAATAAAAGAGAGAGAGAGAGGGAAGAGAAATGGGAACCTGAATTTGGATTTGGTAGTTCGGTTGGCTTAGCGTATTCCCAGTTGTGACCGCCATCTCGGGACTCTGACATGCAAATTCTGTTGATGCCATTAAAAGATCTCAAGAGAACACGCAAATTACCTTTGGCGGTCTTGTAAGGAACAGGCTGGATAACACTCAGAGTTCTGTTTGGAACGTATATCGGCCCGTATTTTCTCCATGACTTACCTAAATCCTTAGTTATCTGTCTTACGAATGAACAAAAAAAAAAAAAAAGAAACGTTCGCAACTACCGTTTGGAAGCTCTTTTCATAAAGAAGATATGAGTTTAGTTGAATAGCTGAACCTCCATCCATGCACCCCAAGAGTTCCAGCTCTCGACAGAAGATCCGCATAGCAAGTGCCCGTTTTCTAGCAAGATAGGCTGCACAAGAAAGTCATTTGAAACGATTGCTGCGTATTTTATGATTTTCGTCTATGTGTGGATAATACTAAATTTATACATATATACCTTGTTCTTTATTGGTCCCAGTATGCCGGGAGGAAGCTGTATTCTCGCTGACCAAGTGGCCCCACCATCGTGAGATCGTTTCATACACCCACTCCATCTAAATTAATGAGAAAGTAGCGAGCTCGAGTTTCAAATGTATTCTCCTAAAG